GGGGTCTCGCTCTTGCTCAGGCTGGTCTCGAACTCCTGAGCTCAAACAATCCGCCTGCCTCCGCCTCCCAGAGTGCTAGGATTACAGGCGTGAGCCACCGCGCCCGACCTACCATTTAAATTTAATGGCACAGCAGGATCCTAAATATACAGAGGAGCATTAAAAATATTCCAACGTCGAATTCCTGGATTATCATTTTCCCCCATGTACGGAAAGAATACTTTGTTCCTTCTTACCTGTCGGACTTTGTGAATTCTCATAACAAGTTCATCCGCAGAAACACTCCCTGCTATTACTTCCAAGGGAATTCCACTGTCTCCAATAAAGAAACTGGATGGAACACACACTACAGGATCTGTACAGTTTAATTAAGTCTAACAATTAATGTGAAACAAAAGGATAATCTTATGAAACTATTGATAACAAAGCAAATTATCTTTGTGAGTTTCACAATATAAACTGCTAACACGTTTATAAAATAATTTCAACTATATTATACCTGTAGTACATGTGATTAATAAAATGATTTATGATTTATCTGTATAGTTTATGTGAGTGAAGATCACCTACATTCTCCTCTATCCTAGTTTTTTCTTACATCCATCTTGCTACCAGCTGACTCTTGCCAGCTACTAATATTCCAACCAAACTGCTCCATATCGCTTTTCAGATATCCACACTTTAAAAACTCTCTATTCTCCCACTAGCTACAATGTATCATCTCAAAGGACACTTAATAATAAGTTTCCATAAACAAGAATGCAAGATTTCCTAAAGAAAAATGAATAGTATCTAAATTTCATGAATTAATGAAAAGAAAGGTAAATATGCAAGCAAATATATACATGAAAAGCAATTTTTCATTGAAAGGATACAGATTTGTGAAAATTGTAAGCAGGCTTCACTGTAAAACAAAATCAAAAAGAAAACCACCAGATGAGTCCAACTATTTTCCAAATACTGAGCTGTTTTTATAAAATTTACCACACCAATCACAAGTATTTTCTGAAATTATCATTTTCTTTCACATCAGCTGGGGGGAGAAAAGTGTAGTTCTTATTTCACAAGACTTTTTTTGGTTTGTTTTATAATTTTGAGATTAAATAACCATTTGCTCTTACAACCCACAAGCTGGTGGTTAAAAATGGAGTTAGTATCTGCCATGTTGCTTCCTCAGCAGCAAGTATACTGAATACAATATCTTAACTTGGAACAAGAAGATATAATGTCTATGACTGACTGACTTACACATGTGATAATGTAATATTCTGTAATTACAAAACATTCAAAAATGGTCAGGTGCAGTAGCTCAAACCTATAATCCTAGCACTTTGGGAGGCTGAGGCAAGAGGACTGCTTGAACCCAAAAGTTTGAGACCAGCCTGGGCAACATAGCGAGATCCTGTCTCTACAAAAAATAGAAAAATTAGCTGGGACCTGTAGTACCAGCTACTTGGGAGGTTGAGGCAGGAGGATCACTTAAGCCCAGGAGTTTGAGATTGCAGTGAGCTCTGATGATGCCACTGTACTCTAGCCCAGGCAACAGAGCGAAACTCTGTCTCAAAACAACAAAAAGATTCAAAACAATCTAAATATCCACCAATAAAAACTGAAACCTTACACGATCATAATAAGGAAAAAGGCACAGAAAAATGTGTCAAAACGTTTTGTAAAAAATGGGAGGAAAACAAATGTAAATATATTATCTTAATTTGGTTGCCTCCAGAAACAGGAACTGGGTGGTCAGGGATGGAAGAGAGACTTTATGACACCAGTAAGAGATACGATCAATGTAGATGAACAATTCCATGAATCAAACCAATACCTCTAAGAACTACAATTTGTTTAAATTTTTTTTCTAAATATAAAGCATGATTATCATGAAAACATTTGAAAATATAGGACAGTATAAAGAAAAAAAATGCTAACGATCCTACCATCTCATTGGCAATTAAGATACATCTCTCATGGCAAAAAAAAAAAATCCTACCATCTCAGAAAAAACCACTGTGAACTTTTGATGCATTTCCTACCAATCTATTTTCAGTGCATGCTATCTCTAAAAATACATATACACTAAAATGTTCCCAGAACATTGGGTAACTTAATTATTATAAATAAATAAGATGTACTTTTCATAATTTAAAGGTACACTTGATTCTATTAGCATGCAGTCTATAATGAAACAAACATCAACCATCACTATACACAGGTATCCCTGCATCTGCTAATAGACATTTCTGTTTTCAAAAAAGTTAGATAAATCAGTCTGTATATAATCTCAAGAGTTCTGAAATTTGCATGTCTTCCACATTGCCAGGAAACCCCTATATTCTTCCTGCCATTGCTAACTCTAAAAGGTGCTTCTGGAAGATAATAGACATACTTAAATTGCCAGATTCTGTTTTTTAAAAACTACTACAGCTCAATACATATAAAGTATCTATTGTTGTGAGGCAGGCTATATTATGATTTGCTTTATGAGACTTTTGTTAATATGGAAAATTTTTAAATAAAAAAGTTTACAAACTTATAGGTAAATTTCTGAACATTTTAATATTGACAGCGATTTTCAAACACATTATTCATTCTGATATTATCGATATCAAAAAGGAATACCAATTTGCCATTGCTAATGAATTAATGTTTTTAAGGACTGATCACCAAGGCTGCTAACATCATAAAGAGAGATAACAGGGTATTACATGCCTTCTGATGGAAGACATATCGCCATTTATAAAATAGTCCGAGGGGAGGAAAAAAAAGTCAAACCTGAATCCATCTATCAATTTACAGTAAATAGAGGACAGAGGAACAAATTAAATGACACTAACAGGCTACAATCAACAAAATCCAGACTGTAGGAAACTACGGAACAAGTATGTAGAACAAATGACCTGGTTTCTTTAAAAAATAAATTACAAATTCAGAAGGAACAATCTCTAACCAAAAAATAAGTTGGAGAGAGAGAGAGGGAGAGGGAGAGGGAGAGGGAGAGGGAGAG